CTTCCGGAGGGGATGGAGGACTTTGTGGTGTATTGTGACGCATCGATATCGAGGCTGGGAGCGGTGCTGATGCAGAGAGGGCATGTGATAGCATACGCATCGAGGCAGCTGAAGCCTCACGAGACGAGGTATCCCACCCACGATCTGGAGTTGGGGGTTGTAGTGTTCGCCCTCAAGATCTGGCGTCACTATCTGTATGGGGTTCGGTGTACCATATACACGGACCACAAGAGCTTGAAGCACTTGATGGATCAACCCAACCTGAATATGCGCCAGAGAAGATGGTTGGACGTGGTAAAGGATTACGATTGTGAGATCCTGTACCACCCGGGCAAGGCTAACGTTGTAGCCGATGCCCTGAGTCGTAGGGCGGAGAGCGCCCCGATACGGGACGTTTGTATGAGATTGACAGTGATGACTCCGGTGTTGGACACCATCCGAGGGGCCCAGGCTGAGCCCGTGAGACCGGAGAACCGCAAGAGAGAGCGGGTTATCAGATATGTATCGGAGTTTGTTACCGATAGCAGAGGGCTTATGACCTTCCAGGGTCGGATCTGGGTGCCATTTGTGGGCGGGGCACGTACCATATTGATGGAGGAGGCACACCGATCGAGGTTTTCGATCCATCCCGGGGCCACTAAGATGTATTTGGACCTGAGAAGAGATTATTGGTGGCCCTGTATGAAGAGGGATGTAGCATGGGTTGTTGAGAGGTGCTTGACCTGTCGCAGAGTTAAGGCCGAGCACCAGAGGCCGCATGGTAAGTTGCAGCCGTTGGAGGTTCCCGAGTGGAAGTGGGAACAGATTACCATGGATTTTATCACCAAATTGCCAAGGACTGCGAGGGGCGTCGATGCAATTTGGGTGATTGTGGACAGGTTGACGAAGAGCGCTCACTTCCTTGCTATCAGTGAGAGCTCCTCCGCTGAGAGGTTGGCAGAGTTGTACGTGAGGGAAGTGGTATCACGGCATGGAGTGCCGATCTCGATCGTCTCAGATCGAGATGTGCGTTTCACTTCCAGATTCTGGAAGAAGTTTCATGAGGAGTTGGGTACGAGGCTACATTTTAGTACCGCATACCACCCCCAGACAGATGGGCAGAGTGAGCGGACGATTCAGACGCTCGAGGACATGCTTCGGGCATGTGTGTTGGATTTCGGAGGGAGTTGGGACACATACTTGCCCTTGGCTGAGTTTTCCTATAACAACAGCCATCATTCGAGCATCGGTATGCCACCCTTTGAGCTGTTGTATGGGAGGAGGTGTCGGACTCCTATTTGCTGGGGTGAGGTCGGGCAGCGTGTGATGCGTAGTACAGAGATAGTACTTCAGACGACTGAGCAGATTCAGCAGGTCAGACAGAGGTTGTTGACCGCTCAGAGCCGCCAGAAGAGTTATGCGAACAGACGTCGCTCGGGGCTTGAGTTCCAGGTTGGTGATTTAGTACTCCTGAAGGTATCTCCTTGGAAGGGGGTGATCTGATTCAGGAAGAGGGGTAAGTTGGGACCTCGGTATATTGGTCCTTTCAGGGTGACTGCCAGGGTGGGCAGGGTAGCGTATCGTTTGGAGCTACCTACGGAGTTGAGCCAGATTCACGATACCTTCCACGTGTCTCAGTTGAGGAAGTGTATCGCTGATGAGTCGGCAGTGGTTCCGTTAGAGGACATTCAGGTGGATGCGAGCCTGAATTATGTTGAGAGACCGGTTGCGATTGTGGATCGAAGGATCAAGACTTTGAGAAACAAGGAGGTGCCATTGGTTCAAGTCCAGTGGCAACATCGGAAGGGTTCTGAAATGACCTGGGAGCCGGAGTTAGAGATGCGCGAGCAGTATCCAGAGTTATTTGTGGAGTGAGACTTCGAGGGCGAAGTCTGATTCTAGTGGGGGAGAATTGTAACATCCGGATTCCCAGGTATCTTAAATTATGTATTTTATTGAGTTTTGGAGAGAGACTCGGCGAGTAGGCGCTCAGACTCGCCGAGTAGAGTCGCGAATCTCCATCCGGGTTAATGACTGGACTCGGCGAGTCCATACGTGGACTCGGCGAGTCCACGCTGTTTAATGAAACCCTAATTTCTCGGGTTTGGGGACTATTTAAAGGCCCTTATGGCCGCCATTTGAGGTCACCAGTCATAGAGAGAAACCCTAGAGTGCTTGAGCGTTTTGGGAGAGGAAGGAAGCCATTTTTTTGACCTTGGGAGTGTTGTTTAGCAAGAAGAAGGAGGTACTAGCCAAGAGGAAGCATAGGAGATTGCTATTCTGTGGATTTGGAGCTAAGATCTTCACATTTGAGGTAGTAATTCGACTCCCCTTCTGTTCTTATGATGATCATATGGATTTAGGGTTTCTTAGACCCTTTGTTGCTTAGATTTGAAGCCCAAATAGTCCCTTATGATGAGGAGGCTTTGGATCTGGATCCATAGAGGTCCAAAGAGCCTTATTCATTAAGCTTTTTGAATAACAATGGAGGCTATGACCTTGGGTTATCGTATTTGGGGCTAAATCATCATATATGATCAAATAGATGTTGTATGTGCATCAAGATGGAAACTTTACGTGGTTATTGGGTTTGGGAATGATAGATCTATGGGTTAGAGGACTGGATCTGACCTCAGGAAGTTGTTTGAGGATGTGCATGGAATGAACTCGCCGAGTCCATGAATGGACTCGACGAGTAGAGTCGGGTAGCCCCGCGACTCGCAATCTGTGACGACTCGTGGAGCATAGGGTTGACTCAGTGAGTCGGAGGGAATTAGAGGACTGGAGTTCAAGGTGGAACTCGTCGAGTCCATGAACAGACTCGGCGAGTTGAGTCGGGGTGGCCCCGCGATTCATGCCAGGTGTCACCCGTCGAGTAAGGGGAAAGACTCGACGTGTCATGCGAGATCAGAAAGATAGTGGGCACGTGTAGACTCGCCGAGTCGCCCAAGTGCACTCGGCGAGTCGGGTCAAAGTTTGACCGTTGACCTTTATTGACTTTTAGGGTTTGGTCAACTTTAGGGTCTTTGAGCCATGAGAGGGGTAAAATGGTCTTTTACCCTTCTGAGAGTACTAAGAGGAGGAATAGTCTAGCCTTGAGAGATGTATTGATTCAGAGTGTTTATTTCATATGATTAGGCGGAGGCTAGACCCGACTTTACAGAGTCCGAGCTTTACCGAGTTAACCGAGGTGAGTCTTCTCACTATACTTTACCTAGAGTGGTAATTAGAGCTATGAGACAGAGTATTGGTATGCTTTTGCATGATGTGATTTCTATGTGTTATATGCTATGTATGTTACGGAGTTTTCAGAGTTGGGACCGGAAGGTCCACAGAGTTAGGGTCAGAGGACCCATAGAGTTAGGGCCAGAGGGCCCACAGAGTTATGGGACTGGGGGGTCCCACAGAGACACTTTGACCAGAGTGTCAAACAGAGTTATAGCCTCGAGTGGCTAATATGTGTTATGTGTGGTATTTTAGGGAACTCACTAGGCATTTATGCTTACAGTGTTGTGTTATGTGTCTCAGGTACCAGCGAGGATCGCGGGAAGGCGCCGGCTTGATCAGTACACACGCGGGGAGATTTTATTATGATCTTGGGAGATGATGTTATGTGATACAATGGTGTTTTTATAACGATTATGAATGAAAACGTGTTTTATAAAATGTGAAAAATTGTTTTGAAAATTTGGGTGTTACAGAAACAGGAGGAAGAGCAATGGCGGACGTCACAAACCTCGTCGCCAGCTTGGTTGTCGTCGGCAAGGGAGATGCGGCGGTTGCAGCGGCGGCTAGGGAGGGAACGGTGGTGGAGAGGCAAGGGTGGAGAGGTGGCGCCGGTGAGGGAGGAATAAGGGTGGGGGAAGTGGCGGCTGTGTTCTCATGCTAGGGTTAGGGTTTACCGAGAGCTATATACCCGGCACCCACTCAAACTTCACCCCATAATGTCATGAATGGTCCCTCCCCATAGGATTCTTTTCACAAAAGTCCACAATTAACACTTCCCACCCCTGCTCACATATTTTCTTTCAATCTAAGTCCCTATTTTACCTTTTTAGCCCCATCTTCTGAAATTCTTTACAAATAAAATCCGGAATTTACCAATTAGCCCCTTAACCTCTAAATTTTTTTCAAAAGAAGTCCCATAAATTACCATTTTGTCCCTGCCTTCACAAATACTTACAAAACTAATCTGGAACTTACACTTTTAACCCCTAACTTCTAAAATTCTTCACAATTTAGTCTGGGACTTACATTTATTAATTTATTTAATTAAACGGGGCGTTACATAACATTTCAAAGTAGATTTAGAACTTTCGTTCGTTAATTTTAAAAAAAAGCGTACTTCGTTGTTTTTATGTACGTGTCAATCTAAATTCGAGTTTGTTTACGTTTCGATGTATTTTTTGATATTTTCATGCTTGTTTTATCTACACTTTCTACGTATAAGTCGGGTCACATATAATACGTTTTTGATTATTTGAACTTCTCTTTACGTTCCAACGTAAATTTTGCATGTGTTTTTGTGTTTATTTTTATGTACGTTTCCTACGTATTAGTTTGGTGACATATAATAGGTTTTATTCGACGATATAAATTGGAGTTAGATAAATTTTACCGACATTTTATATTTATCTACCAACAAGTACAACAGTACCTAACTTTTGTTAATACAACCATCAAAATTCAATTTACAAAACGAATTGACCATGACCCAACGCACAACAGGCACGCAAGTAGATATTCTCTTAAAAATCAAGCATTACCTTAGCTTATTTTTATTCAAACTACAAACATAATGATCCATTCACCAACAGAAAGAAAAGTTTACTAGTTTACTAGTTTAGACCCTTACATTCACCAACAGAAAGAAAAGTTTTTGTATAGTTTACTAGTTTAGACCCTTACATCTTTTTGCTTGTAATTTTTAAATAAGAATTTATTTTATGTCATGCCCCTAAGACCCACAAGAGATTGAGAAGACAATAAATACTCTTTGGTCATTTGTCGTTTCCTTTCACCTTCTCAGTTCTCACGTAATTACCACTTTTCCGCAAATGCATTATAATTTATAACCAACATTTCTAAATCCCTGATACATTAAATTCGAAACCGCTGTGTTGTTATTACAAACCTCCCACAAATATCTAAAAGGCATTCATAACAACCCTCTCCCCAATCCATCAGTAATGGAGGTTTACGCATATCCATCTCATTTTATGCAATCATCTTCGCTAGTTTCTTCATTTTCATTTAGGAATTTGGTTTTCAAAGTTAAAGACTTCATTAGCTCTGCAGTTTCCATGGTTATTGGGAATGTCTTCTCTGCAATTTTCACCTTCTTCTTTGCGTTGGGTATGTGCTCTGTTCTTCATTCTTTGTGTTTTGATTCCAAACACTTGTTGGTTGCGAATCTTTCTTCGTTTTTTCTTGTGGGTTTTCAACAATTTCACTGGATTTTCGCTCATAGTTCCCAATTTGACTGCTTTTTTGCTAAAAATATTGAATTACGGCTAGGGTTAGGATCTTCCTTGTAGGTTCATCTTGTGTTTTTCAAATTATGCTTAATATCATGTTTATGTAGTCATTGTAACTTGAGAAATCAATGAATACTGATCGATATATGAAGAATATATAAATTAAAAACTCATTTCCACCATTTTTGTGAATTGTTATCTTCCATATGTGCAGTAGGAACTTTACTGGGAGCATTAACGGGAGCTTTGATAGGTCAAGAAACAGAAAGCGGTTTTGTCAGGGGATCTGCAATTGGAGCAATTTCAGGTGCCGTTTTCTCAATTGAAGTCTTTGAATCTTCCCTTGTTTTATGGAAATCAGACGAATCTGGAATCGGATGTCTTCTTTACTTGGTGAGCAATTACATTTTTCATCCTTCATAACTTAATTCCTGTTCATAATTCGTAAACCATAACAAATGAGAAAATTTGATTTAGATAGATCACAAGACTCTTCATAATTTGATGTTAATAACACAAATCCATCTCTAAATCGAACAAAAATAGATATGATTATTTAGAAATTAGGTAAAGTCTGCTCAAAAAATGGTATGTGAGAGCTCTCTTTACCTACATTCCAACAAAGTTTTAAATAAGGTTCACATTTTACTACAAGCCTAACAATGATTTTTTTTATTTTTATTTTTATTTATTTATTTATTTATTGATAATTTAGGGTCGAAAAAATAAGATATGTAGAAACGGGTCAAAGTTGTAAAGAAATTAGTTATCTGATTTTTTATTATTCAAATCACTATTATTATTGATTACTATCAAAATGTATATCCAAAGATCCCCTAAAACTAATGGTATTTTTTTTCACCAGATTGATGTCATTGTCAGCTTGTTAAGTGGAAGGCTTGTTCGTGAACGGATCGGTCCTGCTATGTTGAGTGCGGTTCAGAGTCAGGTAAAATTCACAAAATTTTATCAACCCAGTTCAGTAAGGCCCATTTGTTACACAGGACACGAAAGAACGTCTGTGTCTGTGTTTGCCTGTGACTATTCATTATGACTTTGACTGTGACTGTAACCTATGAAAAAACAGTTTTTTCTCATGCAAAAAGGTGGTACATTACTCATCGTTTAAAATAGTCCCAGAAAGATGGTCCAGTCTGCTTTTTGCAAACACAACCTAATCTTGATTTATGATGATTAGATGGGAGCAGTTGAAACAAGCTTTGATGAGGTACAAAATATTTTTGACATTGGTGGATCTAAAGGCTTGACTGAATATTCGGTTGAAAAGATACCTAAAGTTGCGATTACCCGTGATAATGATGTGGACGAATCGGGAGAGCTAGTTTCTTGTTCTGTGTGTCTTCAGGTAAAAATATATTTTTTTTTTATTTTTTATTTTTATAAATTATAATGACCATACGTCATGTCTCAGTGGTCCAATTTTCGTGCAAAATAAAAAAGTTATTCACGCCTATACATTTTGTACCATGATATTATGTTATTCTATTAAGGGTAAAATGATCAAAAGTAATTTTCGTACAAAAAATAGGGCCATGGACACGAAGGTAGTTGGAACATCTAATACATTAGGTGTTATTTTTTTAAACGTGTTGGTTGACCCATTATTATTATTTTTCAATATCTATGAATCCTATTATGTGAATAATTGTCCAACCAATAAATATCTTTTCCTAAATATTCTAACAACATTCTTTAATTTATGTTTTGCTTTACTAAAGTGTCAACCTTAATTTGGACTGAATGAAAGCTTCTAACTTTTCCCTTTCGTCTTTTAAACAAAAGATTCAAAACAAACACTTAAAACAAAGGCAAGTTGATTGATTGTTGACTTTTTATGAGTCAAACAACCCAATCTCTAAATCGAAAAGTAGACAATTCTACCCAACATTTTTTTTCTGAAATCAACTATTTACAAGATCGGTCTATCTTTGTAGCTAATGGGCAAAAATGGGATTTTAATTTTCGGATTTCCCAGTAATCTAATTCTAATGGTCAAGATTGATGCAACCCACTTTGACTTTTGTCAAAATTAGTAACTTTTGTGTTATCTTTATGCAGGATTTTCAACTTGGAGAAACTGTGAGGAGTTTGCCACAATGTCATCACATGTTTCACCTACCTTGCATTGATAAATGGCTGATGAGACATGGATCTTGCCCATTATGTAGAAGGGATCTTTAATCTTTTCTTTTTCTTTTCTTTTTTAATTTTTTTTTTAATTTTCTGTACATTCATATATGAAATTTTATCATTTAATGGTATTACAATAAACAAAACCTTAACACAATTCGATCTTTTCACACACCCATCACTTCGATTCCATGAAATTGTGATTATGGATCCTTAAAATGGAATTTAATTTATCCGATCGTGTATCATTTTCTTGAAAATCTATAAAATAATGAATTTGAGATATTTTTGAAGTCAATAATTGTAACGCTGTCGGGTTCGGAGCGGAAATGGAGGTGGAAATTATGTGAACCACCGACTGTATTTTGCTGACGTGGAATGGTTAGGTTTGAGTTTTTCATTAATGAAAATCTAATGAGTTTTTTCCATAAAAAATTTACATGTTTCAGAGTAATGTACAATTTTTGTTGCGTAATGTATAAGTTTTTGTAGCGTGAGTGGTTTGTATTTTGAGATTTAAGCTCTGCCAGAAGTAGTCGTATCATTCATTGAATGGTGTGGATTTTGCATTTATTTGGTATAAATGTGGCTTGATATTTGTGGGTCATATTAAGATTTATTTTTTTACAACAATTTGGTACCTGAATCATTTAATTTAACAATTTTTTGGCAAATATACTTGTAAAACATATGGTTTCTATAGTATTATAATAAATTCAAATAAAGTATTATTCTTGTCTTAGATTAGAATCTAGACAATGGTATTGTGAAATAAATTAAATATATATATATATATATATATATATATATATATATATATATATATATATATATATATATATATATATATATATATATATATATATATATACGATTAAAATGTCTTAGATTAAAAATATATTCAAAGTATTATAGGATAAAAATGTGAAATAAATTAAAAATATATACAATTAGGATAATGGGATTGTGATCGGTCCTAGTTTTTAAAGTGCACTACACTTATCTAGGACCAAACAACTTCCAGTCTAGAGTCTAAACCGCTGGTCTCAGATCACCCATCAAACTTGCGAAACCAATCTTTTATCGGTCTCAGGCTGGTTTAGAACCAGTCTAATTTTGGTCCTTAGCTGAACTGTAAATAAATTATATTGAATTTGTTACTATCTAATGAGTTTTATATTAGTATCTAATTTTTCATTTTTAGATAATACTATTAAAAATATATATACAACATAGTTGTCAATAGAATTAAAATTTATGTTTCGAGAATAAAACAAATTAATATAATCAATACGAACAAGACTATCAATTAAATTACGTGAAACTAATATTCTAATTTTTCAACATCCATATTATATACAAAAGTTTTCAGACTTAAAAACTTACATAAATAATGTACTTAAAAACTTACACAAATAATGTACTAATCTGTAAGTATTGATTATCTCAGGCTCAAAAAATACTTTGAATCATTGTCTAGTCGCTCTTTTACTCTATAAATTTAAAATTGTTGTTCGTTTGCTTTCTCATTCGTTGTATTGTGATCACTAAACTGTTTCCAATATTAATTTACTTCATAAATGAAAAAAATATATTAAATTAATTCAATATTAAAGTTTTTTATGTTAATGTTACAAGACAAAACCGTTTAAAGAAAAAAAAAACCTGAAACCAGAATAAAAACCGAATCCGGACAGAAAAAAAACGACAACAAAGACCATCGGACTCAACTGCTTTAAACCGAACCTAGACCAAAAAAATACCTGATCATCCGAGACCAAACCAATACCGATTTTTAACAACTTTAGGTTGTAGCATTGTACATCCGACCCCCATTGTCGTTGCAACAGTGAAATTCAGTTTATAACCATCAGTATCTACAACTCAACATTAATAACACATGGTGGATTCAAATATCCTGAACCATTATTCCAATATCTATCTATCATGTCGACACTTTGTCTTTGGCTTTGATATGCCAAAAGTAACTACGACTTTATAAAACCGAGACAAACTCATATAAATGTGTTGGTCAAATCATCGAGACTTTTATGCCCATGATGCGTTAATGATAGGTGGGTTCCATACATCCATCTTTGAAAACTTAGCTTTTGACTTTTTAGTTTGTCTAGCCATTGCATTAATAACACAGCAAAAATATAACTCATCAACTGTGATTTTCCATATGTATTGTTACAATTAAATTGTATGATTTAACGAGGTGGGGTTTAGGACTTGGTAGTGTTCACACTGTGATTTTCATTGCTCCTTCTTCTCATTCGAACTTGCTAGATATGATCAATTCTGTGAACAGGGGAAGAAATCTTCACAATCTTGTTTTGTCTCCACTCTTTGGTTTATTTGGAAGGCGTGCAATGGAGTTGTTTTCATAAACGAACGACGAGCGGTCATGGTCATTGCGGATGACATTTGTGTGAACACCTTTAATTGGATAAAGCTTAGGTCCAAATTTTGTAATTTAGATTGTCGGTTTGGTCTATGTCTCCTACTTCAAACTTCCGTTGTATTGGACTTGAGCGTCTTTCTTAAGTTGTCTTTTTTTGCTTATATATTTTACTTGCTTGCAGTTCAAAAAAAAAAAACTTAACGAGGTGGGGATATGTGCAATAGGTTTGCGATTCATATATTGTGGTCTAGTAAATGGGATTTCATCACATAAACTTGAGTCATATTACCATAAATGAAACATTCATTTGAAAGTTCAAGCCCTTTAAATGTTTTTCAAACTACGATATCAACTAAGTTTATGTTTGTCAGACTAATTTGAAAGCTAGTTGATAGCGCCTAGTTGGTAGCTAAAAGACTGATTGTTGGTTGATAAAAAATCATGTTTGATTAAACTAACTGATAAGTTAACTAGAATATATAAAATTACATAAATAACAATTAAGAAGATTAAGTTTTTTATAATTAATAAAAAGTATATTAGTGAGAATTTAATAAATAAGTAAATAAAAAGCTCAATAAGCTTTTGAAACGTTGTCTACCAACAAATGAGAGCTATTTTAGATACCTTTACAGCAACATTGATTTGGGTTCTCTAGACGTACCAGAATGATTTGCTCTTTGGGAGAAATAGGCTTCATAAAAATCAATTGTTTGATTTCATTGTCTCTTTTTCTTATAGTTGGTTTTGCAATCGTAATCGTAAGGTTAGGAAGAATTGGAATGCGTGTATGCAAAACCCGCATATGATGTTATTGTTATTTTCTTTTGCTAGCTTCTAAATAAATTCAGTTGTTCAAAAAATAACCTTTTGAAACGTTAGTCTAGGTAGCTTTGTAAAAAGCTAACTTATAAGCTACTTTTTAGTTTGTGGCATCAACATTGTATATTTATCTACTAACAAATGCAGCAGTACCTAATTTTTATCAATACAATCATCAAAATTCAACTTACAAAACGGAAGGTTGCCGCAATGGGGGGGGGGGGGGGGGCAAGTTACTATTTTTGTTTAATTACAATCTTAACAAATGTTTTTTTTACATCTCACCCGAATTGTTATTCCATTATTAAAACTTCACTATGGGTGAGCATTTGAGTCAGACCAATGTAAACCGCATCATAACCGGTTTGGGAGAAATTTGTGGACCGGAGCGTTAGGTGTATAGAGGTACCGGTGGCGGTGCCAGTTTTCCGGTTTTTGGAAAGGTACAAGATGCAATGTGTATGGTACAAGTCGATAAAGCAGTTTTCTCGAATCGTTTGTTCTTGAAATATTTGGGTTTGTTCTCGTCTTCTACACATCAATTTATACCACCGATGTTCTTGAATATTTGGATTTTGAAATCTGGGTTTAAAGCAACATGAACACAAACAACCATTGAAACACAAATCTGGATTACCATGGCTAGTTAGAAGATGAACACAAATCTAGGTTTTTTAAGATAAACACAAATATGGGTTTGTTTGATTATTACAGATTGAATACATAGTGTGTGTGTGTGTGTGTGTTTTTCTCGTTGACTAATGGGTTGAGATTCAGAGACACACCAAACCTTCTTCAATCGAATTTAGAACTCAAAGAATTCAGAACTCAAACATTCATACACATTCAATCGAGCACCAACCCCCACATATTATTGTTTAATTGATCATGTAGGTTCTTCAAAAAGGAATATGATTCTAGGCATGTATGATGAATCCGTTAGCAGCAGTTGGAGAAGACAATGAATAGTAGAAGGGGTTTAGGGTTTGCGATTATGCTTTTTCTTCCTTTCTTTTTTCCGATGAAACTTGATGAAGATGATAGTAGGAGGTAAGTATCGGTGATGATAGTGACGTGTTGAAGTCATGTTTTTACTTGATAGGTAGAAGCCTGATGAAGACGCGCCACTTTTGCAACCGACTAACAGGAGTGGATGGCCTAGTAACCCGCTAAATGGGAAATATGAAAACAGATGTGCAAATAATAGGCATTTATGCACAAAAAACGGACATTGGGCATAACCGATTTTTTTATGTAAATTTGAGGGCTTTTATGTCAATAACCCTATAAAAAACATACAAGAGTAATTATTGTGACAAAAATTTAGAAAGTTAGTTCTGCAAATCATGTTAACCAACAAATACATTATATTTTTAAATACCTTTCAACTTTGATACTCCGTCTTCAGACGACTATAACTCAATGAATATGTAACAAAAAAATATGAAATTATAACCTAAAGTGATGTACAAACAGCAAACCACATGTTGGAAAAAAAAACATCATATCAATCTGACTTCAAACGAAAGAGTTGTGACATTTTAAAAAAATTTACAGATTACACAACATCACAAAAAAAAAAAAATTTGACGATATTGTTCCACGTTGATGTTAGTAGCCACGCCATATCACCGGTTATAATTACTAAAATGAAAAAACTAAACAATTTAACTGACTAATGGTAACTTAAACAAAATATGACTAAATAAGACACATAAAAAGTTCATTTATTAAAAATGACCTAAACATTTTTTATTGACCACTTAATATATGTTAAATGCTCAATATATTTTAATGTTTTGTAAATTTAACCTCTCTATCTTTTAATCATATTTTATTTTAACCCTTAAATTATTTTTAGTTTTGAATATTTTGTTATTTATTTACTAATTAATTTTTTCTATTAAATATTTAATGACTTTTCATTTATGAAATATGAATTAATAATTA